AATGGGGGGGGGGAGAAGTGCACTGGACTATGGTGATGGCACACAGGTGATGTGGTGATGGGAAGCCCAAGGGTATTGCAACTGAGATGGAAAAAGGTACAAAATGATATAAAAATAAACTATGATAAAAAAAATGGAGGTGTATTTTTACATCATTTTGTGCCTTTTTCCATCTCAGTTGTAACCTCCATGGGCTTCCCATCACCAGATCACCCATGTGCCATCACCATAGTCCAGTGCATTTCCCTCCCATGGGGGTGTATTTTAAAAGTAGCCCCAACAAAACTTGCTGACGAGCAAGCTATGGTATGAACAAAAGAGGAATACAAGATAACATCAGTTTTGACCTAAGCTACTGGCAAGATGGAGTTGCCATCCAGTGAAGCCTGAGGTGAAGCAAACACCGACAGAGGATCAGACAGTGAATTTCGGATTTCATTGTCCCGTTAGAGATGTCATTAGACTCCAAGTGGTGATACTGATTAGGCATTTGGAAGATAGAAAAGGCACATTCTGAGAGAGAGATTGACACTTCGGAGGAGGAATTGAAAATCACAAGAGTTCATCAAGAGATAATCATCGATAGAACAGAGAACTGGACCGTGGGTTGAGCCCAGCAACACTTCAACATTAAGAGGCTGGGAGAGGAGGATGAACCAGCAACGAATGAGAAAGCACAATTAGGAAGGTCAGAGAAACCAAGAGGATGGTATCCTGGACGCCAAGTGAAGAAACTCTGGAGGGAATGATCCATTATGTCGGTTATTACCGATGCAAGGAGGAAGAGGGCTGAGAACTGAGCATTGGAATTAGCCTGTGAGGCAACTCTGCTCATGAAGCTTACTCGTGCAGGACTGTGAGCCCTGGGATGAGAGGCAGCCCCTACTCTGACGACCATCAGGAGCCACCAGAGGATTTTGAGCAGGTGGAGAAATGCATAAACTCGCGCGTTAGGTATTTCACTGTAGTATCTTGATCATGGTCATCTGGAGTGGGGAGGGAAATTGAGGGGCTGTTGTTGTTAGCAGTGATTTTCTAGAGTGCATGTAAGATGGGTGGCCAGTTAAAACAGTGACTCCAGGGTGCAATGAATCTGAGGCACCTGGGGGCTATTCGGAGAGATACTGATGAACGAAATATTGAGGCTAGTCCTGGGCTAGAGACCTGACTGCTCAGTGGATGGCGGACAGACGCTGAAGGAATGCTAGCATTGTAAAAGGCTGGGTAAAAGGAGAGATGCCCACAGAGAGAGAAGAGTTGCAGAGATAGAAAAATCAGGAACCCTAACAGGAGAGCCAAGAGGAGCAGAAAGGTAGGGGAAGGATTGCCAACAGCCAGTAAGTCATGGGGATCCAGTAGGATAAAGATTTTTAAATGTTCATTAAATTTCGCAATTCAGAAATCATTGGTAATCTTAGTAAAAGCACCTTGTGGGCCCTTCCTGGGTTAGGACACAGCACTGCAAGCTGGCCGCAGCCTCTTCAGTGTGAGTTCGATTCCCCGCCCCAGAGCTGACCCACATGGTGCAGCAGACCTCTCCTGACCCGCCCGCTGCTCCCCTCCTCAGTGTAATTAGATGATCTGCCAGTTCTGCTCCCCACTCTGTCTCTGGTGAAGCCTCTCACAGCCCCGGCACTTCTGGCTTGTACCCCAGTTCTGTATGCATAAATAAATAAACCTTTAAAAAAAAAAGCAGCTTGCTAGTGTGGTGAAGAAATGTGCATGTTGTTAGTGGGAGACAGAAAAGAACTGGAAGCAGAGGGCAGGGGTTAGAGAAGATACCAGACTATAAATATGGGTTGGGGGAAACGCCACGTGACTGAAATCATGGGAGTTTTCTAGAAGTTGAATTCATCAGCAGTGCCAAATTCCATGGTGCAGAAAGTTTACAGAGGATAGGGACTGAGAGAGTGACCCTCAGTATCCCAGCCATTAGCAGAAGATCTTGGCCTGAGGCATGTTGCTGAAGGAAAGAGCGAGTTACTTAGTAACTCAAGACACTCACTACTGAGTCAAACTGACCAATTTCAATGTGGGAAAGTGGTTATTTTCACATTAATAAAGTAACTGGAAGAATTATGACTAAGTACCCTGTGCAGCTTTAAGAGTATGTCTGTGGCCGGCCCTCCCTGGTGGCGCAGCGGGTTAAAGCACAGCACTGAGAAGCTAAAGCCACTTCCGCATGAGTTCGATCCCCGCCTGCCCCGGAGGTGACCACATGGTGCGGCAGACCTCCCCTGACCCGCCCGCTGCGCCCCTCAGCAGTGGACTTTGTCGATCTGCCCGTTCTGCTCCCCACTCTGTCTCTGGTGAATCCTCTCACCCTCCGCATCTCTGGCCTGTACCCCAGTTCTGTATGAATAAAAAAAGAAATCTAAAAAAAAAATAAATAAAGAGTATGTCTGTGGCATCAACTGACAGCCTGATCGTAGCAATCTAGCAACTGAAGACCTGACAAAACTGAATTTCGAGAATCACTTTGGCTGGGGCCGTCTCCTCCCAGCATGGTGACATTGACACACTTTCTGGGCCCTACCAGCTCATTTTTTTGTTTGTTTGTTTGTTTGTTTTTTATAGTTATGTTTACATCATCTTGTGCCTTTTTCCATCTCAGTTGTAATCCCCGTGGGCTTCCCACCACCAATTCACCTGTGTGCCATCACCATAGTTCAGCGCACTACCCCCCCCACCGCCATTTTTGATCCCGTTTCCCACTCCACCCCCCTAAAATGACTGTGGTCTATAGTTGTTCATTGATATTATTTTTCCCCCCTGGTCTTTTGTGCTCCTGCACCAGGTCGTTGTTTTTTTGCTTTTTGTTTTTGTTTTTGCCTTTAAGTTCACTTAACATTTTTATGGTCCATATCTTTATTTGAAAATCAGGAAATTGGGTTAATAATTTTCAGGTCTTTTTAAATTATTATTCAATTAAATTGCCAATTCTGATTGCATTGTATTTAGGTAAGAGGAAGTATGTAACAAGTGAAGTCTCAGAATTAGTGTTTCTTTTCAATACAGGAGGGTCCTTCAGAGAACTGTTTTTCTCTGACAGCTGTAAGCTTTTTCTCCCCAGTGTATTTCATGACACTCTTCAGTTTAAACTGGACAGTGGACTCCAGATTGTTAGCGTAAGGAGTGGTGAGTAGACAATAAGGGTTTAAAACAGAATGTACACAGACTTGTTTGAAGATTGCTGTACCATGAAATAGAGAAAGAGTTTCTCTCCGGGGAACAGGATGAAAGGCAGGTGTGTGTGTGTTTGAGGTGTAAGAGAAGACAACTTCGATACATTTTTCGGAAGAAAGGAGCTAGTACAGGAGGAGAAATTGAGGACAAAGAAAACATTTAATGGAAAAAGATCATGGCAACATATATAAGTAATAGTATTACATTGGTCTTGCCTCTTTTATGTGGGGGTGGGGGTGGAGGTGGGAGTAGAAGCCCCCTTTTTTAAAGATTTTATTTATTTATGCATACAAAACTGGGGTACAGGCCAGAAGTGAGGGAGGTGAGAGGATTCACCAGAGACAGAGAGGGGAGCAGAGCAAGCAGACTGACAAAGTGCACTGTTGGGGAGCAGCGGGCGGGTCAGGAGAGGTCCACAGCATCATATGTGGGTCACCTCCCTGGCCAGGCATCCAGATCATTCTGTAGCAGTGATAGCACTGAGACTTAAAGCCTAGGCCACCAAGGAGGCCCACCCATTTATTTTTAAAAATGATCATTTTTACAGCTTAAACTTGCTTTCGGTGATTAAATAATCATTTCTTTTTCTTCCAGGCCCTAACGGTGACATCAATGGTCTTTTTCATTATCGCACAAGCACCTGAACCATACATTGTTGTCACTGGATTTGAAGTTGTCATTGCTTTATTTTTCGTGATTTTATATATGCTCAGACTCGATCGCTATATGACCTTCTTGTTTTGGCCTTTGCTTGTAAGTGTTCAGTTTCCTCATTAAAATTAGGAACAGCTTTTCCTGACATGTAAGACACTGTAATAAATGCTACTAATTTTGGTTTAAGCCTTTAAGGCAGTCTTCAGCAGGCTTGGGGTGAAGGAACTCTACCCACAGCTGATGTGTTCCTGGCCCCTGAGAGAGATTGGCAGGGAATCGGGCAGCCTGGGAGTATAAATTCTCCGAGTACCATCCATCAGTAGATGTGACTCTCCCATCTGCTAGAAGCAGTCACTAAGTGTAGATTGTCTTAAAATGTTTAATTTAAGATCATGATTAATAAAATAATGGCGCTTCTTAATCTTTATTTCCCTTTTGTTTTCTTTCTCTTTCCAGTTTGCTTTTTTTTTCTTTGCTATTTTTTTTTAACTCTCCTTTTAAATGCATGTTGATGTGGCCTCAAAACTGAGGTAGAGATGGGGGTAGATACACAAGTATCTGCCTCTGCACATCCTTGATCGTTAAGTGGAAAATCAAAATAATTCGGGACACTGAATAAAGCACAGTGTTATCTTACTATAAAATGTCTGTTGTCAATAGTGGTGAATTTTAACTCATCTTGTAGAACCTTATTTAATCATGTGGGCTTCATGTGGGCTCAGCATCAGAAATAACTGCCCAGTGGAGTGTCCAGATGGTTCCAGAAATGACCAAAATAGGCCAGTTGATGGTATTAATTAAAGTGTATCTGCCCCCCTAAAAGAAAGAAAGAGGCTTCACCTCTCTTTCTCCGGTGTCCTCTGCCATACTCTCCCTTCTAAGGCACCCTCCACCTCCCTGCCTCTCCCCAGCCTGCCCCCTCGGGCTGGACTGGTCACTGTACTTGTCTTCCTCTCCTGCATTCCTGATTATCCTCATGGATTCCAGAGTCCTGATAACCTCAGCTGACAGATAGAAGCTATACCTTCAGGGCCATAAGCTAAAACTTCTCAGACCACAAGCCTCTCTTAAAGTGGTATCTTCTAGAACTGTTTTTGAGGGCCAGTGATGAACATTTCAGGCTAATATCAATCTGAGGCAGTCCACAAAGGGGAAAGTTGGAAAACAGGTAAGATCTACATCAGACCTGTCCAAACTCCTACTTGGCCTCCACTGTAGACCTGAACCTTATTGGAGGGAGGTCTAGGAAAAAAAGACCAAAGTCTTCCTCAATAGACCCTCAGAGTTTAAATGCCATGCTCAGCATCAGAAATAATTGCCCAGTGGAGTGTCCAGATGGTTCCAGAAATGACCAAAATAGGCAGAAAGAGCTAAGTTATATTATTCCAAGAATTTCTTTTAAGGAGATGATTCATATGGTTCACATCTTCTTACTCTTATACTCAAAAAGTGGTATAGTTGTTATTGCAAGGTTAATCAAATGCACGCGTTATAGAGATGTTTTTTCTCCAAACTATAACCCTCTAGAACATCTTACATGTAATACACTTGGAAGCCTAAGTTCAACGAAACATAGCAAGAGGGAGCATGGCCTATGGGTAGTCACCGTCTCTTTGAAGAGCAAACGACTGAGAGTGAGATTGTTTACAAATGGCACCATGCCACCAAGGCACAGTCGGAGACCTAGATTTCTCTCCGCCCTTGACCTGAGCAAGTCACTCAGTCAAATGGTCCTATCCACTAATTGCACATGCTGTCAAGGGTTCTTTGGTAAAACAACACACAAATTTGCAAATGAAACACTTCCGGGGTAGCCAGGAAACAAGATATATGAGCACTTTGTTGGCCCTGGATGGTGCGGAGGCCATCAGCAAGGGGAGAGGGGGCAAATCACAACGACTCACACCTGGAGCCCAGGACAGAGCAGGAAAAGCAGAAGCAGCAGACTGATGTGGGCGCAGGTCTCACCCACCAGAAATACAGTGCATGGGAGGGCCTGGGACACAGAAGGATGATCCCCCACCCCAGGTGGTTATGAGCGTTTATTAAGACTGCAGGGGAATAAAAGGTGGGCTACAGGGTTGTGAATACGGGGGCCAGAGTGGAGACTGCAGGGTCATACACGGTCAGTGTGTGCAAGGCTTTGGGTTGTAATCCAATAGCTATGGGAGCTGTGGCATCCTTTAAGGAGGAGAGTGACATGACCAGCTGCCAAAAATGGCTTGAGAGGGAACAAAGCTAGTGGTGAGCCTCCGACCACTTGGGAGTCTGCCACCATAGTCAGATACAAAATGATAAAGGCCTGAATGAAGGTTAATAGCAGAGCTGGAGAGAAAGGGGGTGTTAATAAAGTAGAACTGATAGCCCCGGGTCACTCAGTAACTATATGATAAGGTTGCTTGACGTTCAGTGCCGACCGCTCCATATGTCATGTTACTAAAATTGAGAGCGCTGACTTCCAGTGTGCCAGGCTAGCCTAGTTTGCATCTTCTACATAAGACATCACCCACTTCCCCAATCAGGTAAGTTCCCTCCAACTACATTTAACTTAAAAAAGAAGCCTGTTCCATAGATAACAGGTGCATCCCAGGCTAAAAGCTTCACTGTCAGCGAAATACAATGAGGTGTCATTTTACTATGGCTTGGTACCTACAAGATGATCACTAAATACATGTGTTTCATGACGTAGAACTTTCACAGTCTTTACGGGCTGGCTGTTTTTTGTGTTGTTGTTATTTTTGGTGATCTTCAGGGAAACCTCATCTTTGTGTTCTGTGTTTCAGGATGTTGTCAACTCCCTAGTCACAGTAACATTCATGATAGTCATAGCTGTGTTGGCACTGCTACCAGAAACCAAGACACCCACCGTCCTTGGAGGGGTAAGTGGGGGTCTTTCCAGTTTCTCCCTGCTGGTTTGACCAGAATTCTGATAGACTTGGACCATAGCAATAAGAACAGGAAACTATACCATAGTCCTCCCAGGGGCCTCAGCTAGAGCCTACAGGCCCGTTTTCATGTGTGCAGACTTACCCTGATCAGGGTGAAGAAGTACAATCTCACAGTAAAGCTGAAGTGAGTCAGGTGAAGATGATCCTACACGTTTCTCAGAGGTATGTAGGTTAGACTAGACAGAGAAAGGCTGCTGGAACCAGGAACAACATTCAGCTCTGAGAAACTTGGGTGAGTTTCTCAGATGACAAGAAAGAACATAGATGTCAAGAAAACTTGGTTCGATGCTTATTCACTTACCACCCAGATTCTCCTTCAGAGGGAATATAACAGATGCCTCATGAGAAGGGAATGGTTGTAAGAAGCTTCCAGAGCATTGAACTCAGGGTTGTTCTGAACACTGCCCAGAGAGGAGCAAATTAGCTCCATCACACTTTCTCCTGGAAAGCAAGCCAAAAATTAGCGTCAAAACAGTGTCATTCCAGCTAATATTCTTCTGAGATTTCTTATAGGGGATTCAAAATAGGTTGGCTTTTCTAGGTTCTGATCTAGGGTGCGGATGCAAATGTGCTCAGTAAACCCCCTCCTCCTTCCCTGTCTGTTCATGGTAGAGGCTACCTCGAAGGGCTGACCACTGTCGGCCAGCCACATATGTCAGAACCCATGGGTTTTTATCTCCCTTATTAGGCACTGAGCAACTTCATGAGGGATGGGAATTATTCTAGAAACTACATATCACCAGAACAGCAATTTCCCCTGTCGTCTTTGAATATAATCTTGTGTCTCTGAGAAAGAGGGAGCAGGCAGAGGACTGATTCATTCTTCAGGGGCACCAAGGCACTGGTGCTTCAAGGACAGAGCTGAGCTGGCCACCGCAGCCACTGCCACTGGAAGTGTGGCCACGTGTGGCCACCCAGCACTGGAAGTGGAGTTGGTCTGAATAGAGACGAGGTGCATGTGTGCAACCCACACTGGATTTCTAAGTCTGTCCAAAAAAAAAAGTAGAATGTTTAATAACTGTATTATAGTCGTGACATATTAAAGTGGTAACATTTTGGATATAGCAAACTAAATAAAATCTATTATTAAAATTGCACTTTTTTAAGCTTTGTAGGGTGGCTGTTGGAACATCTTTGATGATGTGGCCTACATGGTTGAGGCACGGTGCTTTGGGGGGACATTGAACTAGAACCCGCACCCTCCCCTTGAGCTGCTTAGAGCTTCAAAAGGAGACAAAAGGGCAAACAGCTGTTGACAGTTACTGCAGGACACGGCAGCAGAACAGTAGCTCTCGGGAGTGAGGCAGAGGACGAGGGAAAGGGTGGGGAGGAGGACTCAGTGTCTCACGGGCAGAGGCCATGGTGTCTGGAGCCAGGCAGTGAGGCCTCCTGGCCCTTGGATATCGGGGACTCAACGCCCCTGAAGAAGGACCCCCCCTTTCTCCAGCCCAGGGCACCAGTTCTCAAACAGCCCTCAGATACTAGAAGTCCATGTTCAACTAGTTTACTCCCTTTATCTCGATTTTCTCATCCGAAGGCCTAGACAGCCTCTTGCCACTTGCGTGGCCGCAGCCAGGAGTCCACAGCCCAGTCCTGGAGAGTGAGCTTTGGGCCAGCGCATCACTCTCATTCTCCAGAGCTTTGAGCCCTTACCGTTGCCTGGGGTTAACCTTGAGCTAGTGCTAACTTTACCCTTTCTCCAATTGGGTTTGCAGTGGGGAAGTAACTGAATCCCGCTGCCGGCAGCACACCCAGGAGCAAGCCAAGAAATCCCCCGGAACATAACCGCTGCTCACTGACATGATCTCTTCCCTTTCTCTAGGGGGCTTCCGGGAAACATGGGAATGAGACTAAAACGACCCTGACATCCATCCATGGGGGTGGGGGGCGGCAGCCCCTGGCCATGCAAGCCCCCGCCATGGCCACCCCCTGACACTGTGTCTTTGCTTCCAGGTGTTTGGATTCCTGACATCAGTGTCCTGTCTTGTGGATGCAGCACTTATTTACCGGAAACTTCTATTTAATCCCGGTGGCCCTTATAAGAAAACTTCTGCGCATAACAGAGTTTAAATGTTGTAGTTTTAGATTCCTTTTTAGTCGAGGCTAAGTATTAAACAGAGTACTTTATTCTTACACATTTCCTGTAGTAGTTCTCATTTAATTTGCCCAGTGTGGGAGTCCGAGGAAGAGATTTAGGTATCTCTGCCCAGAGTACCCCCTCGCCGGAATTTCCACGGGTGGGCGGAGAGTACCCACATCACCCCGGCTTTTCCCCAGCTCGGGACCTGGCAGAAAAGAATACACTGAAACAGCCTGCAGATGGTCTTTGGAGCCAGGGGTCTGGCAGCTGGAGGCAGCCCGAGACACTGCGTTCCCAGGCCGCACCCCGAGAGAAGAGGGGGCTCCATGGAGGGCTGAGGTTGCCCACTGGCGGGTGCAGAGAGCCGTGCGCGTGCTGCAGGAGGCGGGCGGCCGTTGGGGGTGGACGCTGGTTACCACCGCCACGGTGCAGGTGCAGAGCCGCAGGCCAGCCCGACACCCCGAGGCCCGCAGACCCCAAGCCGCGCAGGTCCGCTCGGAACACCTGCGTCCGCGACGCTCAGTGCGTGGCTGGCCTCCGCGGCATCCTGAGCCTTCAGTGTCCACCGCACCCTTGAAGATGTCCACCGTGGGGCCAAGGGCGCCTGTGCCGCCGCCAAGGGCGCCTGTGCCACCGCCAAGGGCGCCTGTGCCACCGCCAAGGGCGCCTGTGCCACCGCCAAGGGCGCCTGTGCCACCGCCAAGGGCGCCTGTGCCACCGCCAAGGGCGCCTGTGCCACCGCCAAGGGCGCCTGTGCCACCGCCAAGGGCGCCTGTGCCACCGCCAAGGGCGCCCGGGCCCCCGCCGAGGGGTGTCCTCCCACCCCCAGGCAGACCCATAGAAAAGCCGATCCCTGTGCCCCCAAGCACAGAGGACAAGAATGCCATGCAGAAGCGTGCGGAGGAACGGGCCAAAGTCCCGGGCAAATTCAGGGACAGCATCAAGCATTATTTCTTCACTCCCACCGGATTTCTGAAGATCCTGAGACTGGTGAGCCAAGGGTGGACACGGGAGGATGAGGGCTGGCCTCCGCCTGGGGGATGCATATTGGGGGGCTGAGCCGCTCTGAAGCTCCCCACTTCCCTTGCGCTGCTCACCTGCGATGGGCCTTGGCGTTCCTGCCCCTCCCCCACGCTCACACACGTAACCCTTACTACCAAATTTGACTTTTCCTCCTTTTAAATTTCTGCAATTTTCTCTCCCTAAGAGAATTAGGAAGCCGTGATGATAACGACAGAAATGTGTAAATGAGCAAATAAAAAGAACAGAATTGACCGGTAAAATAGATAAATGGGGAAAAAAATAAAACCGGGGCCCCCACTGCTGGCGCAGCTAGTTAAAGCACAGCACTAAGAAGCTAAAGCCACTGTAGCATGAGTTCAATTCCCACCCCAGAGGTGACCACATGGCGCGGCAGATCTCTCCTGACCCACCCACTGCTCCCCTCAGCAGTGGACTTGTCAGTCTGCCTGTTCTGCTCCCCGCTCTGTCTCTGGTGAAGCCTCTCGCTGCCCCTGAGCCTCTGGCCTGTAGCCCAGATCTGTACGCACAAATAAATAAATCTTAAAAAAAAAAAATACCAGCAGGCTTAGCTTGGGGGAACCTGACCAAGACAAACCTGGGATAGCTAAGGATGAACAGTGACAGGGGTACTAGGCCAGGCAAGGACACGATATGAAAGTGCTTATTTCCCAACAAAGTGACATTGGGGGCATCAGCAGCTGTTTGGAAAGGCTGTTGGGGCTTTTGCCTCACTATCAGAATCAATATCTCCTCCACTTTATGGGCATACACATACTTCTTCTTTTTAAAAGATTTATTTATTTATGCATACAAGAACTGGGGTACAGGCAAACAAGAACTGGGGTACAGCCAGAGGTGTAGGGGGGTGAGAGGATTCACCAGAGACAGAGTGGGGAGCAGAACAAGCAGGTTTACTGAAATACACTGCTGAGGGGAGCAGCGGGTGAGACAGGAGAGATCTGCTGTGCCATGTGGGTCAGCTCCCTGGCCGGGGATCAAACTCATGCTGCAGTGGCTGCAGATAGCTTCATAGTGCTGTGCTTTAATCCCTTGCACCACCAGGAAGGACCCTATACACATACTTCTTTCTGGCATGAAATATACCCTGCTAACGATGGTGATTTTTAAGGAGCGAGGCTAGAACCTAACCCTAGGATTAGGTTGGGAGAGAAGAAAAACAGATTTGTGCTCAGTTTTTTATTCTTTTCATTATTTCATTTCTTAAAAATATAAGATATTTGAAATAATAAAAATGTTCAAAACAATACAGAAATTGCAATGTAATCCATTTACAATTTATGGATTTAAAAATTAGTCTGTGTCCATTATAACAAACCCTGTTTCTTTTACCGCAGGGTCTTCTCATAGGAGCATTGATTTGTTTCATTGCTGCTGAAGCCCATGAATCATATATAGCAATCACCGTGCTGGAAATCTGCATCGTTCTTTTTTTTATTCTAATATATATGCTAACCCTTCACCACTTGCTGATTTGTTTAGACTGGTCCTTACTTGTAAGTATTCTTTTTCATAATTCGAATAAAAGCTGTGCCCTCAGGCCCCAGGGTAAGGGCTTTCCTGGAGTGAAAACAACAAAACCCTCTATCTGGACAAGGCCAGAGCTGATTTTCACAGGCTTTGCGCTGGGCGGTAACTCCCCTCCCACCAGAAAGATTCCTTGGCCCTCCTGTCCAAGGACAGTCACACACACCTGTCACTGTGTCACAGTCCCACACAAATGGTACTTTCCAGAGAAGGAAAATTTTAATCAGCACGTTTTGTAGGTAAACACACTTCTCACCTAAAACAGCAGATGCTTCTACTTTCCAAACTGTATCCTTCTTAAAAGAGTATAAGCAACCCCTCACCCTTCAAAAAGAAAAAAGCACAACCCAAGAGTTGACATGGCAGAGTTTTAAAAAATTGTCACACACACTGCAAAAGACAGCAGGAGTCTGCCTTTACATGTGTTAATGTTAAGGGCCCATCCTCCCGTAGGGTGCCATATGGTGGCTGTTCAGGAAACAGCACTGCACCCCCATTTTTGATCCACTTTCCCCAGAATTTTCAGATTCTTTACCAACTGAAAACTCCCCAAAGTTAACCCCTCGGGGTTTAGACATACCTTGCTTACTATGGAACCTAATGCTTTGCATCCTCACAGACTGGTGAAGACCAGTTCTGGGGGCCCAGTCCCTGGCCTGGCCCCTCGCTCCTGTGTGAACTTGAACTTCAGTTTCCCCTTGGGGGAAATTCAGCAAAGACAAAGCCTGATAAGTGACTGAATTCTTGTAACACTTCAGTGTGTTGAAGGCAAACAGCACAATGACTGGCCCAGAATAAACACTTACTACAAGTGGCCAAAGAGAAAAACAGCCCATCAGGGGAATTGGGTGACTTTGTCATTTTATTTTGCCCTGTGGACTATTCTCTTCACTCAGGCCTCTTCCACATTCTGCTTCCTTGTAGCAGCTTTTTCTTTTTCTTTACAAATTTGTTGAAGCATACAAGAGCTGGGATGTAGGCCAGAGGTGCGGAGTATGAGAGGATTCACCAGAGGCAGATTAGGGAGCAGAACAGGCAGATGGACTGAAATGCACTGCTGAGGGGAGCAGCGGGGAGACAGGAGAGGTCTGCCGCGCCATGTGGGTCAGCTCCCTGGCCAGGGATCACACTCATGCTGCAGTGGCTACAGATAGCTTCATAGTGCTGAGACTTAACCCCTGCACCACCATGGAGCCCCAAGAAGGTCTACATCCAAAGCACTAGGGCAAAGGCTAGTCAGAGAGAAGGCCGTGGGCACGGAGTCAAGACAGTCACAGGCAGAGCGGCTCACTGCCTGAGCAGCACCGGGCTTCCTCATCTGTAAACTGGGCATAATGAAGGTTTGTTGTACAATAATGAGACTCAGCTGAGGTGACGGTCAGCACAGTACATGACACGCAGCAAGTGCTCAAGAAATGTGAGCTGCAGCGACACGTTAGGAATGAGGTGAACAGTAGCTCCCCAAGGGGTATGTCTGTGGGGAAGACTGGACAGTGGGCGCCCGGGGGCCTGTGAGACGGGGTCAGCAAACGGCCAGGGAGTCAGACCTCGGAATATAGTGGCTTACACAGTCCTCAGGTGTCAGGCTGGCTGCACAGCAGCACACGGCTACCTGCCCCACCCTACTCGCCTGGGAACCTGGCCCCAGTGTCCGTCCCCCGCCCCAGTTCTGCTGCATGTTCCCTGCAAGTGTCAGCCTCCAGGTGCCCAGAGAGCAGACGCCCCCAACAGAGCCGACTAACAGCAAGCCACCTTCCGCCCTGCAGCTCACTGCTCACTGGTCTCACCAGGAGTCAGCAGGAAGCCTGTGCACATTTTGAGGAGACATGTCAGAGGCACCCACTTTTTTATGCACTCCCACTGTCCACTCCCAGTGCTCCCGTGATCAGATGCTTTCAGCTTCATCAGGCCATTTAACTCCCAGGTCAAGCCAGTGAACCCCACTCATTCCCATATTTTAAATGAGCACGTTGGCAGAGAGGAGCCATAAAACACGCCTGGGGCCAGAGAGCTAGGAGCTGGCAGGCCCAGAGAGCTCCTCGACCCAAAAAAGCAACATTCTCACCTTATTTATACTCCATGCCATTTTGACCTTCCTACTCCACAGGAAATGCCAAGGATGGACACAGCACCCCAGCCCAGGGAGACAGGTTGCTTCTTCCTCCTTTGGGGTCCCGTGAGAGGAACCAAAATAAGTCACTTGAGTTCTGACTCCACCCTGCACAGATGTTCCTGTGTAGAAAATTGAATAAACCACCTGAGCCTTAGTTGCATCCTCTTAAAAGGGGAGCCACGACTATGGTAATTCTAGGCTGCCTGGGGGACGGGGCCTGGCACGGTGACGCTCGAGACCCGGCTGGCAGGGCCAGCCCCCACCCCTCCACGCCAAGCCACCGGATCTGAAGACTTAAGACGTCCCATTTAGACATCCAAGGTTACATCGCCCTGGGCTTTTGCTTCTCCCCCCACCCTGAGGCTGCTCCCACCACTCTTCCTCACTCTATTTCACAGACAACGATGCAGACTGGGCTAGCAGTTAGAGGATTCAGTACAGAAGCCGGAATGAAGGACATAAGTAGCCCCTCGCTGCCAGGGCTGACTCAGTTCTGGCCACGTCTTGGGAAAGAACAGAAGTCAAGAGCACAGACACTCATTCCAGAATGTCTGTCTGCTCCTCCATGTCCTCTCACCTTGGGATGTGTGGACCCAACCTCTACCTGTTTGGGCATAGAATTAAATAAGTTATAGTATAAACCTAAAATTTTATTTTAAAGACAAATATATAATGGAATAAAAGGCAAAATTTAAATACAAGACTTCAGGGCTCTTCCTGGTGGCATAAGGAGTTAGGTTGCAACGCTTTGAGGCAATCTGTAGACATTGTGGCCTGAGTTTGATCCCTGGCCGGAGAGCTGACCCACGTGGCGCAGCAGACCGCTCCTGTCTCACCTACTGGTCCCCTTGGCAGTGTATTTCATCAGTCGGCCTGTTCTGCTCCCCACTCTGTCTCTGGTGAATCCTCTCACCCCTCTACACCTCTGGCCTACACCCCAGTTCTTGTATGCATAAATCTGTTTTAAAAATAGAATAAAAATAAATAAATACAAACTTCAAAGAATCCTCTTTGCGGGGGGCCAGTTTGGGGTCTATGTTTTTTCATGTTCAGTTTCCTGTTCCCTTTAAGAAAAGACTGATGGGCCCTCCCTGGTGGCGCAGCAGGTTAAAATACAGCACTGAGAAGCTAAAGCCACTTCAGCATGAGTTCGATCCCCGCCCCAAAGGTGACCCACATGGCGCGGCAGACCTCTCCTGACCCGCCCGCTGCTCCCCTCAGCAGT